TAAGTGTGAGAGTACAATGGGGTAAATCTATGGGATAATTTGACCATGACAAGAGTGTATGAAATTTTCTTCCCTACTTTCATATTCATTCTAATAATTTGCAGAACAATTTACACACAGGACACTATCACAGTCAAATAGCAAAACTTTTTGTTATTTGAAGTCTTAACAATATAACGAACTTCTTGAGTGAGAGGGAGCAAAAAATAGTAGGGCAGCTTAGTGCCACTCATGGTCCTCACTTGTGAGGCTGGGGCAGGAGAATCACAAATTCAAGGCCAGCCTGGGCTTCGTAGCTTGATCTTATGTCATATAAAAAAGAAAATTATATAGAGGGGTGAGCTAGCGGGTCCTGCTGAATATTGATATTTCTCTGAAACATTTGTATTTAATCCCAATAATGACTTAAGGTCTAAGTAAAAACAGTATGTAAAATGATATTATTACCTCTCATAGAAAGACTGATAATAACCGGCACTTACTGATACCTGGCATTATTAATAATGCTTTAGCTGTAAAAATTGACATAATTCTTTCTGAACAGTATCTTAGAGAATTTATGTGTGCATACCAACTGTAATAACAGATTCGATATCAAGTAATTTTATAAACTGTAAAGATGCTCATTTGAATGTTGCTCATGGTAATGACCAATTAAAAATGATACAAGTTCTCTAATGTATTACATAAGTCACAAAAATAGTATGTGTTAATCTAATTTCATATTCATGATCGTCTGGACTCCATTAAAGGGGAAAGAGCTCCTGATTCCTATGAAAGGATACCCAGTCGCCGGTGGAGATGGATAAATAGAAATCTTGGATGGAGGTAGAATAAAAGAGCAAAAAAAGACCATTACATTAGAAAATTAGAAAATGGAAGTGATGGAATCACTTGATCCCATGAACATCACAAGAAGAGGTACTTAAGAATGCAAAATATTTGGGCAAGTACAATGCATTGACACACTTACGTGGAGGAGCAGATAGCTGTAGGGGAATACAAAGATTATAAAGACTGGGATGCAGAAACTAAGTGTCCTTAGATCTTAATACTGGTGGTACTTATAAAGTGATGTATAGCTGAGTCATTCACATGATAGGGTTATGACTCACTAGTACTTTTTTACATGGCCTCTATGTTTGAAAAGAAAATTGTTTTCCCTCTGCCAGCCTTACACATAAACATTATTTCTGGTAGGGTTCATATCTTTGGTTGATGAGTTGCTGGTATCTTTGTTATTAATACAGAGTAATGCTTCCCTAAGGGTAAAACAGCTAAGGCACTGAGCAGGACACATTGGGGCCATTATACAACCACAGTGGATTCCATAAAAGAATCCAGATTGACTAGGAAGTCAACCAGAATGCCTGAAGGCCAGGTAAAGGGGGGTATTTAGAATTATATCAGTATACACCAGGGAAAGTTTTTTTTGGCATATTTCTTTAGAACATGTAAATGTTTTGGAAATTATTATTTTTGTGTGTGTGTGGTACCCGGGAATTGAACTCAGGACCTTGTGCTTGCCAGGCAAGCACTTTTTCCACTGAACTATCTCCCCGGCTCTGTTATGGAAATTATGATAAAAAAATCAATTGTAGGAGGTAGGTAGATCCTCTATGTCATCTCAAAAACAAAACATTATTCTTTCATTTGTTTAGTTTTTCCTCTAATAAATACTTAGTTTTTCATGTGTCTGATATTGCTAAGAACCTAACTAAGAATACTGATGAGTAAAACAGATGATTTCTTTCACCCATAGAGCTTAAGTCAAGTGGAAGGTAGACTAAATAGCGAAGTTAATGAGGGACCACATGAGTAATTCCACAGTGTTAAGTGCTAAGAAGAAAACAAATACATTCAAGGATAGTTCTACAACTGGGCGTGGTCATAAAAGAAGATCCCTCTAAGGAGAAGACTTTTAATATGAATCTGAAATAATGGAAAAAGAGACCCATCATCTGTGCAAAGATTCAAAGAATTCACCTTGACTAACTGTATGCTGATAGCTGTGATCCAAGCAACTACATGAGGACAGCAGTGTGTAATACAAAAACCAGGCTTGAATACCTGACATCTTGGTCTTCTAAATGTGTGCCATTTCTAATGTCATATCAATTATTACTATACTCTCTTTAAAATCTTTTTTTTAAGGTGAATAAAAAAAGAGACAAGAACAGAAATTTAAGGTTTCTTGAAAGCAAGTGGTAATATTCAACCATATGTCCAATCTTACATAACTATATCTGTTAATCTGAGCAACAGATTTGACAATAAAATAGATAATATATCAGCCATTGTTAATCAGCTATTCTTGGTTTGAAAATCTGTAACATATGCATTGCTGTATGTTGCCCTGTTTCTTCATTTCTTTTTTTTTTCTACATGACAAATTAATATTTACTTTTTCTTTTTTTTTCTTTATCTTAATGTTAATTTTTATTTTCTCCTTTTCTTGATTAAACTTCCCAAAGATTTCCCTAACTACTTGTTCAACAGACATATTCTTCATTTTCTATTTTTTTTTAAACAAGATTTCTTTCTTTTTTTTTTTTACATTTAAAAATTGCATTTAAAATTACTTCTATAAAATTACTATAATTACTATAACAAAAAAAGATACAGAATTTCAAAACAAGATGGTAAGAAATTAACAAAGGTTGTTATATTACATATTATTACCTTCAAGGCACTTGCTTAGATTATGTTTCTTCATTTCTGATTTTTGTTCTTGTTTTGCTTTTACTTTTCAAAATTAAATTAAATTAAAAAAACTAAAAATGAAAAAAAAAAAAAAAGAATCAAAGAATGGCCAGTGTGGGCAAATAGGAGCAAAAATTCAGGGGATGGGGCTGGAGAGATGGCTCAGTGGTCTAAAGCACCTACTTGAAACAAGCTTGGCAAAGCACAGGGACCGCAGTTCGATCCCCCAGCACCACATGCCAGCCAGCCCCACCCCCTGGTGGGCTGAGCTGGACACACACACACACAATAAATAAATGTAATAAATAAAAATAAAAAAAATAAATAATTAAAAAAATGTACTTCTTCTAAAAAAAAAAAAGACTTTTAAAAAAAAAATTCAGGGGATGTTAAACAAAAGATAGAAACAAATGAGTCAGAACTTTGCAGGCCATAACGGCAAACTTGGATAGAATTAGAGATAAAATGGCAAAGTTTTAAGTAGGGTATAATATAATACGAAAGGATTTTTATTCTTGTTGTGGAAAATAAATGGGTAGAGGCTGGTGAGAATAGAAGTAGGGAGACCCACATGCATTTTTACATGAGAGGTCACGAGAGCGCAGATTACGGTAGAACATTGGTTTTCATCTTCCCAGATAGAGTCATTTCTGGAAGATGAGCTCCATTGTTACCTAAAGTATACTGACAGGGGGCTGGTGAGATGGCTCAGTGGTCTAAAGCACCTACTTGGAAAATGCTTGGCAAAGCACAGGGACCGCGGTTCAATCCCCCAGCACCACGTGCCAGCCAGCCCCACCCCCTGGTGGGCTGAGCTGGACACACACAAATAAATAAAATTAAAAAAAAATAATAAAGTATACTTACAACACTTTGGGGTAAGGAGCTGACAAAATAGCAAGCCAGCAAGTGAAAGGAATGTAGAAGCAAAAATTTTAAACTGGGCATTGAAAGGCAATAAAAGTATTTATGAGGCACTGTGCGCATACGTGCGTGTCTGTGTGCGTGTGTGTGCCCACATACCGGGGACTGATCCCAGGGCCTCGAATGTGCTAACCAATCATGCACTCTGCTGCTGGACTCCACCACCAGCCCGCTTCTTTGGTCTGGTGATGACGTACTCGTAGGGCATGTGCTCCCAAGGGCATAGCTAGGGTGTAGCATACTTGAATGACAAGTTACTCATATACAGTGTTGGGGTCTTTGAAAGTCCTGGTCCCTCAATAGTATTTGTATTTCTTGATTGGGTTCTGGACAACTTATAGGATAAAGTAGACTAATAACTGAGTCAGTATTCATTTTATTACCGATAGAGGTCATAAAATGATAAAAAATATATGAGTCTGCTAGTTGACCTTCAGGATCAGGAGACTTCCTCATTCTGTGCCTGGAGCCAAGCATGAGCTCCCTGTGGGCAGGCTTGTGGCCACAAGAATGACAGTGGAATGTGTGGCAGCAGTTAATCTCTCCAAATTTACTAGGCAGAGAATTAATGTACCTGCCCAGACACAGAAGCCATTTGGGTTAAGGGTGGAGAACGGGTCAGGCTACCATCAGAGATACTTTTCCAGGAAGGATGCACTGGGCAGGGAAATACACAGGACCTAAAGGGAGACAGGTCCATAAGGAGAGAGGTAGAGTCCATGTACACAGCTCCACACTGTAAATAGTATTGTAAGGGGAGGCAACATCTTTGAAACAGTAAGAACTTAATCCCTACTAGGTAGGTTAGAACTTTTGGAACACATGGACATTACCTTCAATAAACATTAATCATTGATATTTCTTTGCTTCTGCTGACTTGGGGGAATTGATGCTTCCTAGTTTGCAGAAGAACAGGCACAGATGTTTCTGACAGTCCCAAACACCTATCCCATAGCTCTAAGTGTTAGATTATTCCAGAATCTAATGAATCTAGGAGACCTTTAGAAGGCTTGTTGGCCGAGAGAAACTCAATTTAACCCAATACTGATAGGTTTTAATGGTGTCGCAGCAGAGAAACAAGCAGAAGGAAAAGGGAAAGGGGTTTTATTATAAAGGAAAAGGGACTTCATTATCTCAGAGGACACAGAGAGAATTTGGGAAGATAAGGAATTCTCTGGATTGGAACAAAAGGAGGCTGAGGCTTTGATGGCCTTTGCCAGGGGTGGGGCTTGAGGGGGAAGTTTAGATAGACCTGAGGAGCTGACTGGGGTCTTCCCTGAGGTGGCAGGAAAGGTGAAAGGAAACTGCATCCTGGGCTGAATTGGAGAAGAAGTGGGGAGGTGGTCACTGGGAAGATAAGCTGTTGCTTTAAGGGCTTCAGCCATATTAGATGACCACCATCATAATTCAGCAATTCTTACTAGGGCCATAACCTATCAGTTACATTGCCTTATGAAACTGCCTTGGAGTCAGGCTGCTTCTTCTCGTGCCCTAAGAGGTGCAGAACCTAGAAGACATGTGAAGACACAATCACAGGAGACCTCCTTACCTGAGCATTCATTACCTGTATTTTGAAAGTTAACCGACTGGATCATACAGCCAATTCTATCTTAAGAGTTTACCTCGCACAAAGTTAAAAAGTGAAGATTTACAGATAAGTAGAAGAGAGGCAACTAGGATAGACACCCCCCAAACTTTAAAAGAATGTGACAGGGAGGCGGGCTGGGAGGAATCAGCAACAACTCGAGTTTTTAAAGGTTTCATAGTCCTGTCCCACTGGGTCAGGATGGCGCTTCTGGCTCCATCCCATTTTCCAGGGCCCACTAGGCGGTACTGGTAAGGGGTACATGGTCCAAAGAACACTTCCCAGGCTAGTCTGGGATCCTTGAGGAACAGAAATGGGATGTTGGGCTTTGCGCCTATGCATGCAGCCAGCTCATCCATGTAGCAGATGTAGTTGAGTTTGTCTTGACTGGTGTCTTTAATCACACCCCTATGAGGAAAGGAAACAGATGACTATTATTACCAACCACCTCCTGCCCTGCATTTCTCAAGTTAGGAGAGCCACCCTTCCCTCCGATTTTATTACTTCATTTTCACAATCAAGCTATGTTTGGGAATGTGTTTTTGGGCTACAAAGAAAAAACAAAAAAGAGGGGCTGGGGAGATGGCTCAGTGGAATAAGCGCTTCCCTGCAAGCACAAGGGCCTGAGTTCAATCCCTAGTTCCACCAAAAAAAAAGAAAAAAGAAAAAACAAAAAAGAAAAGGAATCATCTATAGAGAGTATATGTGAGAGTAATTATTTCATGAAAGGAAGGGTTGGAAGAGAAGTTTCAGTTCTCCAATCTGATATGAAAATTAAATCTAATCAGTCCAAATACAGGTGCTGTTGAGGAATGGACAAAATCAGAAGGCACTGCTCATGTGGACACCTGCAGTTTGAAACTGGTGTTAATTGTGAGTTAAATAATGCACACTTGGCAGGTCCAACCTTGGCACAAATAGGGGCACAGGTTATATGAAGCCTTTATTCACAACTGTATATTGTAGTGAATTTTCTTGGTGTCTTAAAGTCATTCCATAAACAAACAAACAAACATTTCAGGCCATTCTACATGCCAGGTTCTAACAGTGAACAATACACTGTCATCCTTGCTGTCAGAGTTTATACTCTATGGGGGGAAACAACAGACTAGGAGAAACCCAAGTGGATCCATCATGTGATCAGGAAATCAGGTGTTATGAGAGCTATAAAGGAGGGTCACTAGGGGGGCATTCCCCTTTTCTAAAATGTTGTCAAGAAAAGCCTCACATAGGGTGACATTTGATTTTTTTTTTTTTTAAATGTATTTGGTACAGGATATCACTGCACAGTTTGGGCTCCTGGTGATCCTCCTGTTTTCAGCCTCCCCAGTGCTAGGATTACAG